TTGTAAGTATAAACCAGGATCATATGCAATTTGTTCCTGCTGATCTTCATAAGGTCCCTTTCCTAACAACATGTCTAGATTTCTCTGAGGATAACCAGCTGCTGCATTTCACCTAGCCATTTCCTTGCAAAATCCCTCATTGGCAACCTTCCATAACAGGTATTGTCCTCCATTTAGCACAGCTTTACACATATTAGCCCAATCTGCTGGCATCATGTTCAAGTTGGTAATGGATATGACCATGCTTACAGTGAAGGGTGCTTGAGGACCATAGGTTGTTACAGCCTCTTTTAGCTGCTTCACTGTTTTAAAATTTAAAGCATGGTAAATTTGCTGCCCTCCTGCCTGCTCAAATACAGGGCATGTTAATATTTGAGGTCTTGTCTCAGGATCCCATCTATCAACTGCGGGGGTTGGGGGCCTCCCGGCATATGGAGGTGGCACTGTTGATTGGACACTTATGCTCTCTAGTGATAGAAACATGTTAGTAACAGTCTCCTGTTGTAAGTTTTCCCCTGATGGCTTTTTCTGCTCTAAACTTTCTTCCTCTGTCTGACTAGCTTGAGAGACCTTCTCTTTTACTTGAATCAATATATCTTCTCCTTCCTCTACCATTGTCTGACCTGAAGGCTTTGGACTAAGCAACAAGATACGAACATCCACAATGGCAATGTGCCAACTGGCAGAGTCCCTGGGCTTTTCATTTCTATTCTTTTTAAATCTTTACCATGATGGATCCATTGTGATATATTTAACAACCCCTCCTTAAAAAGCCATGGGCTATATTTTTGTATTGTATCAACATATGCCCTGACTGCTCTTGATTTTACTGGGATGCCTCCTTCCTCTAACAATTTACTTAACACTCTTTCGGTTTGTTTTTTACTAGTTTCTGATCCCATATTTCTACTATAACTATAATACAACCCAACAAGATAATGCCAAACAAAACCGAAACAGAATGAAACAAAAATGGAACAACAAAGAATCATTATATCAGCCTTTCTATACTCCTGGAATGTCCATTTTTGCTTTCTCCCTATCTGTTCCTCAAACACAAATAGTTTTTTCTCAGATGTGAGTGGTTTTTCTTTCATCTTACACATCTCCAGAGACAGGCAACTTAAAATAGAAGTGAAACAAAACAAAAGAAGAATCTTAAAATGGCTACCCATCCTCTCGCCCTGCCCTCAGGAACTAGCAGTTTACCTTATCACTTACCCTCAGTTGTTAACCGTGCGGGCCACCAAATGCCGCAGTCTGGCTGGGCACAATTCAGGAGCCACTTTTCAAAAGAAATGAACTTTATTTTTAGAACACACACACCACACCACACAGCTCTTCAGGAATTCCCTCAGAGCCCAACTGCCACCACTGGCTTCCCACAAGCCTCTTAACCTACCCCACTCCCCCTGCTCTTGAGGCCGATTGGCTAGGTCACATGGGCGGAGCCAAAAAAGTCCCCCAATGAGCAGCTCCGTGGTCTGAAAGGGTGGGGAAACAGACCAATGAGCATCACCGCAGAGGAGCCAAACAGTTGGCAGCCAGAAGTTTGCTGGCAGCTGTAAGTTAGTTGGCAGCTAGAAGTTTCCTGGCAGCTGGAAGTTTACTGGGGCCCCCTCACTGTGGCTCTCAACAGGAGAGGTGCAGGCTGTGGACATGTCGTCCACGGCACCACTCTGCAAAGGGCAAGACACTTGTGTCCCCATAAATTCCAAAATGCAGCTGGCTCCTCTGTACGTATCTTCCTTTAGGCCCATGGACAGTCCTGTGTTCCTGGCTTCTCTCACAGTCCTGGCTGGCCCTCTGTGAGTCCCCATTGCCTGCGTCCCTGTGGTATGGGCGTGGGAGTGGGGGGTCGCACACTACGTGGGGGCAGCTCGCTGAGTTTCGAGTGCCTGTCAGGAGCCCCATGGCCTCCGCAAGGCCCAGGCTGTGCCATACAACATGGCCACCAAGGCCCCAGACTGCTGCCTCGGCCCAGTCAGCATGAAGTCAGTTGAGCTTCAGGCGTAAAACCCACATGGTACAACCAGAAGCCACCAATCAAGACGCAAACTAAACAAAAACATGGGAGAGCCAAGTTCTGTCCCTTTACATGGTCTCTGCTCCTGTTAATGAAAGTCCTTGCTCCATAGCAGAAGATACCCTCCAACCCATGGCATCCACACCAGAGCAGCACAGGGATGATACACAGGACCTCCTCAGAAATGCGAATCCAAACCTCATGGCGTGGAAATGCCAGGCAAGCCAAATGCAGGGATCGGTGAACAGAACTGCCCCACCCTTCTGATACGTCATTGTCATGAGAGACTGAGGAGGGCCAAACTAACGAAGCCAGGATCTGACACAGAAACCCAATGCACAATCCTAGATCAGATCCAGGACTGCAAAATACCCTATGATCTTGAGGCGGGGAGGCAGGGTAAAACGACGTCCTTCGTCCTTGTCAAGACACCTGACCAGTCCACAGTCCAGCACCAAACAGCAGCCCCTCCTGACCACAGCCACACCATGGTGGAGAATGCTTCTACTCTGAGGAAATGTGCTCAAGAACAAGGAGTGGGGGCAGCAGCATCACCCACAGGACAGTGTGCTCGGGAATCAAGAGGGAGGACATCCAGGCCACCAGACCAAGGGCTCTTCCTGGCTCCACGGTGGCAGGCCCCCAGGGCTCTGTTTCCCCTTTTCTTTTGGTTCCAGTGATTGAACCCATGGGCCTTAACCACTCAACCACATCCCCAGCCCTTTTTAGTTGTCCCAAATCCTCATTGCATGGAGGTCCAAGGGAAGGGTCGGGCACTGGGTGCAGGCTGACCTGTGCCTGGCCTCGCCTGCAGGGGTTCGGCTTCACAGCTGTGTCTCTGTCCCCACTCTCCCCAGGACCACCATTGCACCTTTCCAACAAGAGAGGGTGGAGGCTGGCTCAGCAAGGCCCTGCACCATGACCAAGGCCTGAGAAAGGGCACACAGGGCACCGAGCCAGACAGACCCAGGTGCTCAAGGAGCCCAAGGCCAGTGAGAAACCATGTGCAACAGCTGGCCAAGAGGCCAGGGTACCCCAGTGGGGACAGCGGGGAGAGCCCCTTCAGCTTCCCCCCCCACGTCTGGCAGGCCTTCAATGATGGCCCACTGGGTGATGGCAGATAATGGCTGTCTTAGTCTGACAGCTACAACTGCCGCCAGCTGTGGCCTGGGGTCACTGCGTCACTGTGCAGTTTTGGAGGCTGGTGTTTTGCACTGGCTTTTCATAAAATCTGGAGAACATACCAGCCTTTCTTTAAAAAAAAGTTAGATTGCAATCCAGAAGCTATCCCTACTCTACCCGACATCCCAGCCCAATGAGAGTCCTTTTTCAGTGACTGCTTCATGGCATGGGATAATTAAGATGTGCAAAATAAGTGCACGGTGACAAAATCCTACAAGTAGTGTGATATGCCCACTGTAAACTCATCTTATGACAAGCAGGAGGAAACCAGGGCACATATCAGCCTCTTTAACACACTGGCCCATCAGAGTGAAGGGCCCTGGGAGGGGAGGTGGCACCCATGGCAGGTGCTGCCACCGCCTCTGTGGTGCCAAGGTGATAAGGACAACCCCAAAGCCTGTCTCATTTGCACATGAGCCCATGGCTCACTGCCAACAACCTTTGCGGGGGATGGCCACAGTGGCACTCTGAGGCCCCACCTGGCCCCACGTTTCATCATTGACCCTCATGGTGCCCTGCAGAGGCAGGCATCTGTGCCCCAAGTTTAAGAGACACCTTCATGAGCCCTACTGAACACACTGGCCAACAGGCCCTGATCCAGCCACAGGAATGGGAGCCATGTTGGCTGTGGCTATCCAGAGCCCCAGCACAGCGAGGACTCCCAGGGCACCAGAGCCAACACCTTGTCCCTCAGCAGCCACACCCAGGTCAGATGCAGCCATGAGGGCATCTGTAAGCCCCTATGAGATGGGGGATGGGGACAGACATGCATGAGGCTGGTTCATGACTTGGGCACAGAGGAGACTCCATGCCCATCAGAAATGACCTAACACAAACCCAGAGTCAGGACTGGAGGGTATCCAGCTACTCTCCAGAAGGGACCCCATCCTCCCCTCCTCAGCATGAGGACTGCCTGCATTCACTGTGGCCCAGACAAACACAGCAGCACCAAAATGCCTTCAGAGAACACGTCAGAGGCAGACTAAAACTATTTTAAGGACACACTGCTTCTACAGAAGTTTCCCAGTCCAGTTTTTCTGTAAATTGGGCCACTGATTAATGGCTTCTCGATATATTTCAATAAACAAGTTGGTGGTGGACACCTGTGATCCCAGCGACTGTGGAAGCTGAGGCAGGGGGATCACAAGGTCGAGGCCAGCCTCAGCTTATGGAGACTGTCTTCAAAAATAAAAAGTGTTGGGGACGTGACTAAGTGGTTAAGTACCCCCTGGGTTCAATTCTCAGTGCCCACAAAAAAATAAATAAAAACAACGTGCAAGGACAGCAAAGGGGGTGGAGAGGACAACGCTTCCTGCTGTGACGTGGGCAGCTACAGGTCACGGAGTCTTCGATGGGTTCTGGTGCTGTTCCCCAGGGCCAAGCACGGTGGTGTCAACTGAACTCGACTGTGACCCAAGTTGCACAGGGAGTGCAGCAGCTTGGTGTGTGGGCTGGCAGCTCGCTTCCCTGGGAGCTGGGCCTCGGAGCTCATGACACTTAGCTCAGGGTTGTCGGATCTCTGCTCCTAATATCCCTCCAGCCCACATATGTCTTATTTGTGGCCATCACCAAGTTCAGCCTAGAGCCAGTGGCAAGCGGGAAAGAGAGCAGGCAAGACGCAGCAGGGCCTCCACTTCCAGAGTCAGTGGGGGTCCTGTCCCACCCCGTCTTTACACACAGGGAAGGGTCAGGACGGGACAGGACAGCAGCCTTACCCTCAATGGTAATTCAGGTTATATTCATCTCTAATTCGCCACAGCTCCTGCATGATCCAGATCTCTGGGCGCATGTCTGCAGGTTCTGCCTGAGACTACTGCATGGAAGCCATTACACTCAGATAATGATTGAAGGCCTGGCAAGGAGGACTTGGGATTTGTGTTGATTTGTCACAACTCATGGGTGCTGGGCTCCTGTCTTGAGGCTCAGTCTGAAGGGAGGTAGGGCCCCCAGGCCTGAACTGGGGAGGCCTCTCTGCAAGCTGCAATTGTCCACCTTCTCTTTCACACTCAGAACTTACATGGGAAGGTTGCTTTGCCATTTGGTCTTTTTTTGTCTGCCCCTTCCTTTCTGTGCATAGCGTCTGGGCCCACACTCCGTGGCGGCACAGCTGGACACAAAGCCCACGCTCGGGTTCAGAGCCCCCCAGGCCGCATCTGAAACCCAAGCCTGCCTGCCCGCCCGCCATCGCGCTCTGCCAGGCAGCCCAGGGCTTAGCACACTGCACCTCTGGCCCATGCTGCCCTGGCCATCACAGCCGGGAACATCCTCCCACTCCGCCCACTCCTCCCCTCCTATTTGGAAATTTTTGAAAATTAAAAATATATATATTTTAGCTGACTCTGCAGATGTATAATCCTGGGATCCACATGACCAGTTGTCCATGAATTTTAAAGCATTGTCACTTGGGCCAGGATGTGGTGGAATTAAGTGTCCCTTGGCACCTGCAAAAGAGCTGGCCACTTGAATAGGGCCCCAGGCTTGGCAAGCAAACAGAACAGGTTTCACACCCTCTCTACACAGGTTTTGTCTCCTGCCATTTATGCCTCAATAAAGGAAATAAAACCTTAAAAGTAAAATTTGCCATTGATATCCATTGAGAAAATACCTGGCACACTGTCAAAATGCAGGGTGGTAAAGAGGTGAGACAATATAGCTGATAACCAAGAGAAAAAGCAGCATTAGAAATAGTCACAGAGGAGCCAGTTATAGACTGTGATAGAGAAAGACTTTAACAAAACTAATCAATAGGTTCAAGACTCAGAGAAGAAACAGAAAATTTTTATGAGTACTAGAATTTATACAAATCAAATCAATACTCTAGAAATGAAAAAAAATCCATTATCTGAAATTATAATAGATGACTTTAATAATAGATTTTACTGGATATTGAAAACGAAGGCAGATTTATGGAAAATATCTACAATGGAACATAGAGAAAATAAGGATAGAATTAAAAAAAAACCAAAATCATAAAAGACATGCAGGAAATACCCAACATATCTAAGAGATATGTGTCTGTACTCAGAATAGGAAAGAAGAAAGATACTAAGGCAGATACAATACTTAAGAATTTAAAGAAATACTAGCCAAGAGTATTCAAGAACAGATGAGCAGCTTCATCCAGAAACTTCTAACAAAACTTAAGTGGGATTCAAAAATTATTAATACCTTAAAGCTTAATAGTTCTTAGAAGTATTCTTTGTCAAAAAATACTTAACATCTTAATATTCTTAGAAGTAGACTTTGTCAAAAATCAATGACAAAGAAAATTCTTAAAAGCAGGATGATAATTATTCAATATATTGATATAACTCTTTGTGATCACTTGATCAAATCATTTGAAATACAATTTCAAATAGAACTGCCACTCATTAACCTATTAGAAAGTCAGAAATACAGACTTCCAAAAGACATTTCTCCTAATATAAGACATTTGTGACTTTGTTTTACCCATATGAATATGAACCTAAAGGCAGGATCTAAGATGCAACAGTGATTCCTTAGAAATATAAAGTAAAAATTTAAAGCAAAGATGCTGTTAGATGAAAAAATAAATGTTATGCAAAATCTGAGGTGGAGGCAGAGGCTGAGTCTCCTGAGATATTGGAGAGTTGGAGCTTTAGAGTATTTTATTTCTTATTTATTTTGCAATGTACCACTATAATTTATACATTTTAAATTTTCACCAGAAGGATACTTCCTTATATTGTGTATGGATAAAGGTGTACTTTCAAGGAAAACAGTTCTATGTAGCTAGTTTTAGATTTAAAATTATGAAAATATAATCTCTCTAAAGGCCATTGACTAAATCTTCTAAACATTATCCATCCTTGTAGCTAAGATGTCTCACTCCTTTCCAGTCCTCAAATTTTGTCATCCACATTTTTATAAACCTGAAGTATATTTTTTTTGAGGAAATTGAGGGATCTGCTATAAGTAAACTACAACCACTGTTATGAGACACATGTCTTCACCATGACATCCTAAAACTAAAGTTGGCAAGGTCAAAATGAATTGGTTGACAGTAGCAGAAACCAAAATCGGATCAAAGTGCTATGACCCCCTTGCACTTGAGAGGCTTCATCTTTTCCTGAATTCTAAGTAACCAGACATAACATTACAAACTTCAGAGCCCTTGATCTGACTCTGAATATGCAGAGAGCTCTCTCCCCACCCCCCCCACCTACCTCATGACAAAACCCAGCACATTTTAAAATGTATTCTCTCTTTAGCAAAATTTTCAATTTCTGGATCTCTTTTGAGATATTTTCCATGTCCATGGAAAGGTCCTCAATTAATAAACTCTTGAATATCTTTCAAAAAATGTTTGTGGAAGTGAGCAACACTATTTCCCATTATAGAAATGGCAAGAGTCAGGCAAATTAAATTGAAAATCTGCCTATGTATCTTACTACTTACATGACTTTAGGCAATTGTTTAATTTTCTTGAGCCTCAATTTCTAAATCTGTAATAAAAGTATAAGACCTCTAAACCTGTGTGCCATGGTGAGGATTAACTAAGACAGTACTTATAAAGCTTTTCATATGTAATTTATTTGGGATAAGTGGGCATTTCTATTCTTGTAAAGTGGATTTTTAGTCCTAATTTGTTATATATTGTGAACGTCTAGAGTGTTCGGGTCCCTGGGTAAGGGTCGAGAAATAACCAGGACACAGGGGATGTAGAGCAAAGGCAGCAATTGCAACTGCATGCTGAGGTTTATTTACAAGTTCCTTTTATATTCTTCTTCTAACAAAGCAAGCAATTCTTCAAATAACACTTTACCCACATTGCCCAAATATCATGCCTCAGCGGATACACAGAGCTAAATTCAGATCGTTCCTGTTTAGTTGATAAGTACCCTCTTAAAGTTCTTTGTAGACATTATCTAATCCCCTGAGGATGCATTTGTTTCTTTAGAATGTACTGTTCCCAGGACAAGTATGCAGGAAGCTTCTTCCTCTTGGCCAAACCATGCAGAACTTGTGACTTGCGATAAGGGGAAGAGAACTTTTCCTCCTCCTAACTGAGGTTTGCCTCAGCTAACCTAAATCACAACCACAGCTCTTGCAAAATGTCAGGCCTGAGGGAGCTAAACTATGCACACTCAAACCCCAACAATATATGACAGCAGAATGTATTACAATTCATATTACACACATAGTACACAATTTTTCATCATTCATTAATTCTTTATATAAGTATATCTTCTTTTGTATTTGGATTCTAAGTGCCTCACTCTTCATATGCCAGTTTCTGTATTTTAGCTCACCCCTCATTGCTGCATTCCTGGGCTCCTATAGCTTAACCTGGGTTCAATGAGCTCTTTGGACTATTTAGTGGATTCAGTGCCAGGTTTCAGTGGGTCTTGTTTGTAAAGACATGTTCGTTTTAACTGTTGAGTATTAGGAAGGCCAATGGTTCAAAACAGGACTGCCATTGAGGGATACTTATTTTACTCACAGACTAACAAGGGAAAGGGCATCCCTCAGTAGGGGCCACTAAGGAGTCTCCTAGTGTGAGGTGTGCATGCAAAAGAAGAGAGGGAAACTGTGGCCAAACTCCTTTATGTGGCTTCTATGAGAAAGAATAGATGAAGCAGAAGAAGCTGATTTAGGACAAGTTTGAATAATGCCAGTGGGCTCTAAGACACAAGGGCTGTCCCTAATAATCTGATACCTGACTCTGGGTTAAAAAAGGGGAAAAAAGTAGCCTGTGGGGAGCCACTCTAAATGGTTCACTTCTTCCAGCCTGGAGCAGAGAGGCTTTGATCATCACTACATCTCGTAATGACCTGGATATTGTCCCAGGAAGTTTGAGGGCGTGTCTTCAGACATAGGGTCACCCCATGGTCCCCTATGTTGAATTGCATTCACCTGTCCTTTGTAATCCTGCCCCTTCTGACCTTTTTTGGATGGAATTTTTAAGAATAAAGGTCCCCCCTGAATTTGCTCACTCTCTCTTGCCAGCCTCTTGTAACTTTCTCTTGCCTGAGGCTGAGAGTGGAGAAGCTGTCCTGAAGCTTATTTAAAGGTAAAGTGTGTCTGTGTTTTATTTGCTGTCCCTGGAAATTCACACAAGTGACCCTAAGTTCAGCTGCCTATGCAGATCAGGGGCAGCAGTAGTCCACAGTGTGAGAGCCCAAAAAGGGAGGAGGTTGGTTATGGGTTAAATTGCGTGCTCTGGTAGAACAAAACAGCCATGAGAGAGATAGGGGTCTTATGACATGATACAAGTAGCTCCTGTGTGAAGGTAGGTTGCTGAGACATGGAACTCTAAGGATGTTGTGTTGCTGTTCCCTGGGGTCCTCTGGCTGGCCCTTCACTTGGGACGATATTGGCTCACAGTCATTATTACGATGTGCCACATAGTCATGTAATATTCATTTCATGGGCTAGAGAATGTAGCAGCAGTATGAAGAAAGGATACAGGTAGATCTCTACCTCAGAGAACATATAATTTTTTTCTGTATATTACATAGCTGGAACACTTAAAGGAGAATGAGAGGTTGGAGGCACAATTTGTAAAATTCTCAGGCAAAAGTACTTGCTCATGAGGACGGAAATGTGTTGATATGATAGTGTCATTCCTGAATGTCAGGCAGCAAGCTGTTGTCTGTGTAGCTCCCCAGCAACAGGATCAAAAAAATTGCATTGGTGAGTGGACTCTTAATCATACTGCAAGGAGCCATATGTGGTGACCACTCCAAAGTAGCATGTAATTACCTACATGGTTTAGCTCAGACATTCCAAAGGACCCCTCCAGGGTCTACCTATGTATTAGGTACAATAGTCAATGAAGTAGTTTAATTTTCATTTTTTTCCAAATCAGAAAAAAATGCAACTGTCATAATAATGAATATATTATTATTATTATTATTATTATTATTATTATTATTATTATTATTATCAGGCCTGAGTTATATTTTTCTTTTTGCTGATGCAGTGATAACGTATAATCTGTAATATTATTTAATGAAAAAAAAATGTCTCCATGGCAAAATTACCTATTAAGTTAGAGAGAATAATGTATTCCCCAAAGCTGTTTGTGTGGTAGTTCTGGAATCTGTGACTC